ATTTCAAATATTTCATAGGTGTTTGAATCAGAAACAGCTATATTTAATTATTTATGTACTTATATATATATATATATATATATATATATATATATATATATATATATAGCATATTAGGGCAGCATTAAACATATATATGTATATATTTATATATCTTGTATGTATATCCATATAATAATATATATTTATAATTATGTTTATAACATGTAATGCAATATGTAATGTGTATGTCTACTTAAAGATGTTTTAACTCAGTTGCACTTTGCACCCACAATAACTTCTCTGCTTAACCTGGAGGTAGACTGGTAGAGAATGCCTTGTTGCATTAAGTCCGCCTTTTTGTACTCGGTGTGCAAATAATGCATAAATAAATAAATAAATATAAAATTACATTAATAAGCATAAAGTTAAGATAAATTGTTCAGTGTATTGATGACTCAAATACGATTTGTATAAAACAAAAGAATGCAATTTAATATTTAGAAATCACTATAATTGATCATTCCTATGTTAGTGATTGAGTAGATTTGTACTGTAATAATCTACTAATAGCAGTAATATCATGGATATACTAGATGTACAACAACGTCTGAAAAAGATTCACCCTAGTCTAGAAAATAATGTTTATGCTGCCAATAGACTGCCTTTGTACACCCACGTGCCAACGTATATAATATGCAATTTGGATACAGATGATAAACCAGGGTCACATTGGGTAGCTTTATATATCGATACGAATGACGTCGCTCAATATTTTGATTCATATGGACGATCACCTGTACGATATCATCTAGAGTTTTTAAAAAGGAATTGTAAAAGATGGAACTGGAATGTTGATAGGATTCAGAATGAGTGGACTTCAGTTTGTTGCGAATATTGCTTAATGTATTTGCTATATAAGTTTCAGGGATGTTCAATGCATAGTTCTACGAGTATATTTACAGGGAATACATTGTACAATGATATTTTAGTGGATGAGATGTTTCGCTCCTATTTTATAGACAATAAGTAATAAGATTTTGTATTTTTGTATTTTTTGTATTGTAATGTGTTTTATTGATGATTCAGATTAGCGTTGTAGATAGGAACAAAGAAGTATAATACAATATCACTGATAAGCCGACGCATACGCCGAGGAAAAATAGACAATGACGGTATTCAATGAACAATAGATAAGAACAATGGAGCGCTAATGACGGTGGAAGCCCTCACCGGATATCAATTAGATAAGAGTTAATTTATCTGCACTTCTCCGGAACCGTGAATCTTACGCAAAAACGGACCGCAGATTCGTGATCAGAGCATGCCAAAACTTTTTACTTTTACTTGTGTCTGAAGTTGAGATTTGCTGAACAGAGTCTCGGATTGGGGGCGACTAAATCTAGTCCAGTTTAACCCTCAGAAGACACGAGTTTGCGCGTTAACCGCTAAAAAGAACCTCTTTTCCGTATCTCCTCAGTTTTATGACACTCCCCTTGTTGCCTCAGCCAGTATCGGAATCCTCGGCGTATAATAAAGAATTATTTAGTATGTACATATTATGTGTCCTTCATATCTCATTTATAACCTAACCTAACTTTATGGTGCTTGAAAATACTGATAGCGCCATCTATATAAAATTATAGTAGCTAATGTATTATAACAGTAAAATAAAAGTTATATGATATTTAGAAAAAACGTGTAGGAATAATATAAAAAACTCAAAATTGGGTAACGTATTGACAATACAATGTAAATTCATGACAATGTAAAGTTTAAAACTTTTGGAAATGCAAAAAAGAAGTAGGTATAATATGTTTACTGCCAAGCTTCTATGAGCTCTTTCAAAATTCGATTTACCATGTTGTAGATACTCGACTCTCACTCGACTATAGGATTTATATATTTTTTATAAATATTTATAACACCATTCTTTTACTGTGTTTAGATACAATTATATCATTATAGAACACTATTTTACATTATTTAAATACAAACATGTCCTTAATCACTCGACACCATTGAACAAATTCTTATATACCTACAACTACATACTTCAGACTAGTTGCCCATACTTCAGAATATTAATCATAACGTTTGATAGGATGAACCGATTTTAATAAAACAAACACTAAACTTAAAACGAAGATACATTTTACAATTTATCTAACGATTATTTCATTGATATAAATTAGTACTTTGTACTTATGATACTTAGCTAAACAAACAGACAGACTATTCTAGAAATGATACAATAGGTGCGGGAAAACAAAATAAAACATAAATAGATTTACAGTGTACGTTTCCTGTGCATTTGTAGCATCCACCAGCTTCTTTTTCTTTGTGTTCTTTTTTCTTCGTTTATTTTTTTATTTTATAGGATAGGTCTCACACAGTCCATGGGTTGGATGCTGTAGCTCTTTTTCTGTTAATATAATGTTCCCGTGAGGACTAGGATGGAATCGTTTCCAGTAAAAGGAGTCTCCGGTTCTCTACACTCACCATACGAAACACAGCAGCATTAAGCTACTATTTTACGCTGGTATTCTGTGAGAGCGTGGTCCTTCCCGGGTCGAAACATTTAACGCCATTCAACGGCAAATTTTATGCCGTTCAACGGCGTTGAAATTGAAACGACGTTGACCGTTCAAGTGTAGCCAATCACTTTATCGCGTTAAATTTAAGGCAATAATTGTTGCGTTTATGGGCATTGACGTTACTCGTTAGTGTAGCCGCAGCATTAATGTCAACTTCCTGCTGCTGGGAATCGAGCTAGGAATGTTCATATTTTTCGCGTTCAGCTGTATTTCACAATTGAATCTAAAAGAAATACCGTTTACCCTACAGGCCATATCTGCAACTTTCCGCTAATTTCAAATGCAAATCGCTTCAAATTTCTCCTGTTACGACGTTTTTGAGCTCTTCGAGCTTTTTCAAGCTTTTTTTTTAATTTTGATGCGGATTACAACAATCGGCGCAGTTTTTTGAGCTTAACAAAAACATTTATTCCAAAAAAATGAATTTGAAAAACATTTTTCAGTATATATAGTAGTTATTTTGAAAAAACACTTTTTCAAGATTTCTTTCGACAACGGTTGATTTTGATGCGGTTTACGGCAATCGATGTCATTTTTAAGTATAAGGGCTGATTGGATTATAGAATTCATCAAAGCAAGAGTGTCGAAATAATTACAAAAAAAAATTTTTGAAAATTTAATTGAATATTCTGAGAAAACTTTAAAATTCGAGTATTTAAAATACTAATATCTAATATACGAATATACCGATTCCGCCTAAATTCACAGAAAATTTAAGTTCAACGAGGCTCTTTCAGTTGCCCCAAACCACTTTTCGATCGCAAACTCCGTTACAAAGTTATGAGATGTTTACATGTTGACATACACACACACACACACACACACACACACACACACACACACACACACACACACACACACACACACACACACACACACGCGCTCACACACACATACATACAGACATACGGTACATAAGGACACTATCGCAAAAATAGCCAGAATATCTTCCTAGGAGTCGGGATCCGATGAGAAATTGACTTTCAAAAACCGGGGTGAAAACAAAAACAAAAAACTCATTTATTTTCATAGTGGAAAGTTAAAACTTTTACAAGGTATAATCCTCCTCATAAATCCGTTAACATTTCATTACTTACATAACATACCTAATTACTTGTAGGCGATATTTTCTGTTTTACCTTATTTATCTTATTTTGATTCGGTCGTTTATACAGTCTAGAGACGACTGTTTCAACACATAATATGACATAATATAAATATTTACTTGATGCTTTTAATTATACGTGCTAGAGCCATACTGCATTTATATTAGTAGTATAGTTGTAGCACGAATGGGTCGGCTCGACCAGGAAAGGAATATCCTCTTACAAAATACAGTGTGTTTAGAGAACCGGAGACCCTTTTTACCGGAAACGACGCATTCCTGTTAGACCTCGCGGGTGACAACGCATCTGCATTTTGATTCGTACTCGAGTATGATGTAGATGAGATGTGGATGTCTATGGACCACACCAACTACTTACTATCTGGTGTACTATGCGCTCGTTTATCAAACTTATACTATTGAAAAAACTATAAAATTTATTTTATTTATCTAGTGAGTTGTGAGCTCATACTCACCAGATAAAAGATAAGAAATTAAACCTAATTGAAAGTTAATGTTGCGTTACAAGTTCAAACTGTCCTAAAACTTTTGGTTTAATCTAAGTAAGGTTTAGGGGAGATCCTTGTACCTTGGGACGCTTTTCTTTAAACCTCCATAATTTAAGTTCAAATTTATCTATGCCCTTGAATGTTGAAATTTCTATTAGGTAGCCAATAACATCACAATAATATGATGTAAAACACGACCTACTATGTTTTATCAATGAGATATCCCAAGGTACAATCATGGCTTGTACCTCGGGGCACCAATGTATGTACCTTAGGGCACATTTTTGTAAACCTAAACTGCCGCCAGATGAATATTAACTCTATCAGTTGACATACATATTTCATATACCGGAGATTTTGATATGAATGGGCAGCTTAAATGCTTTGTTAAAAGTATTTAAAGCATTGAAAAACAAAGATAATCTTAATTTTATATAAATAAAACAACAGTCATTACAAAACTTACTTACAATCACTTTTTAAATACTCAGGAAAATAAAAATAATAACAAAACTTGTTTACAAACATTACTATTAGTTTTCTTTAGACTTGATACCGCATTTCTGACAGTAATTTTCAAAACAGGTGCAATTTTCGTGCACCCAGAATCGGCAGGTGCAACACTGAATCCAGTCTTCTGTGCTGGAAGTAGTGAAATAATTTTCACCGCAACCCACACAATTATTTTCCTCTTGATCGTCATCACATGAATCGTCATTTTCTAAGATAACATCAGTTTCATCCTCAGAACTACTAGTTTCTCTCTCAACTTTTTTCTTAAAAACACGCTTCTTGACAGATTTGTTTTTTTTATTTACTTCTTTTTTCTTTTTTAGCAGCTAAAAGCTCCAATTCCTCTTTTTTAGGAGTATAGGTTAAGACTCTTGTCTTACCTTTTCTATTTCTAGTAGTATTATTCTTACGTGGTGGGGCCTTTGGAAAAGGACGAATGGCTTCAGGTGACATAACGATATTTTTGTCTGTGTATATAGTACCAGTGGATATAGATGGTGCTGGAGATTCTATTGCTACTTGGTTATTGTCATATTGTTGTTCAATATTTGCATATTGTGATGGTCCAGGTAGAGCAATATTTGGTTGTATTTCAGCCATATCCAATCTGGTGTGTGTAACGGTGTTAGCATCTACATAAGGCCTATCAGTAACATATGAGCTCAGGAACTCATCTTCGCCAAAAATATTATCATTAAATGGCCATATTCCTGCAACTTTAAATAATTTGAATGTTGGATGGCGTAAAAGCTAATGGAAAAGCAGTGCCAAAGCATTCGGCGACATTATATATAGTGAGAGGAGTTCCAGGATGTTGCAAAAGCCAATCGTTGCAAGCTTTGTTATAATATTTCTTGAGTGGACCAAATACGGTTCAGTCTAAAGACTGTAACTTGTGGCTGGTGTGAGGAGGAAATGTGAACATTACAATACCATTATTGTTGGCCAACTCTATAATTTTAATCGAAATGTGACTCTCGTGTTTGTCCAATATCAGGAGCACTTTATTATCATTATTAGGTCTAACATATTTAATGAAATGGTTCAAAAATCCTCAAATTTATCACCATTGGACCACCCACTGGGAGTTGCAAGCCCCAAAGTCTCAGGAGGAGCACCATTAATCATGTGGCTCTTAAAGTGCACTCTAGGAAAAATCATGCAAGGAGGAACCGAATTCCCAAGTGCATTCACGCATGCAATAACAGTGACATTATTACCTCTCTCTGCTGATGTAATATTCCCAACTTGCTTTCTACTCCTTTAGACGCTAAAACTTTCATTGGATTGTGTATTGTAGACATGCCAGATTCATCTACATTATAGATCCTTTCGCTTGTAAAATTGTATTTCAACAGCAGTTCCTTGTATTTATTAAAAAACAAATTTACATTCACCTTATTAAAAGAAGTAGCACGTGCTAAACTCGTTGCTTCTGGTTTTTGCAAGCTTAAATTTTGATGCTTTTTAATAAAATATTCATAAAATTTCTTACCAGCTTTTTTATTTGTGTCCCAAGCACTTGGATAAGTTTTTTTCAAAATTACTGCATATTCGAATGCTAATTTTAAAAAGTCATCTTTGCATATTCCGTAGTGTAACTTGGATGCCTTTAAGCAATATTCAACCAATTGCTCTTCTTCTTCATCACTAAACACTCTCTTGACAGCATTCAGAGGGTGATAGACGACCTCAACATTTTCTTTTTCTTTGTTCAACTTCACGTAACGGCCTATTAAAGATTTTGAGACATGAAATTCTTCTGCAGCTTTCCGAATAGATAAACGTTTTTCAATTACCATTTTAATTGCACTTTTTACATTTTGCTCACTTGGTTTCGGTCGTATGACTTTATCTTTACTTCGCGGCATCTAAAAACATAAAAACACTAAATAAAAATATAATATTAAAATAAATAGTTGAAAAAAGCATTGGCTTGTACCTTGGGACTATCCCAATTCACTGTCCCAAGGTACAAATTTCAATTATAGAATACAAAGTGTGGTTATAATTTTTGAATTACGGAAATCTAGGAAATTATATTAAAATAAGTGATTAAGAATATAGATAACAACTAATTGTATCATAATTAAATTACTCACCTCAAAATATTTCGTCTAAAGCAAAGATTCAAGTGGATTGCAAAAAAAAATCTGACGAAAAAATCACACTGCATACCACATCTAAGGAACGAAGCAAAATGGCCGATTTTACTGCATGCTTTCTGAATGTTGTAATGAAATAGCTACAAGATGTCACTACTTACCACTTCTCAATGTAAAATATCTGACGCAATGAGCTTGTCCCGAGGTACAAGGTGTCCCAAGGTACAAAGATCTCCCCTAATATCCATATCTTTGATTAAACGTTAGATAAGTAGGCCCTCATATAATACTTATGGTCAAAAATGAATACATTATAGATACGATTAAATTGACTCAATTTATCCCCATCCTCATTTGTTCGTACAACAATCGACTGCTGACTGCTGTGTCTAATACAACCTCACAATAAGGAAGTTTCTTCGCCACGCTCGATACGCGACTCTTTTGACTCTGTTTACTGTTGACAAATGATTAGTCAATATAAATATACACAGATATACCGCATATTGGTATCAATGGAGGCTACAAGATACTCACTCATATAAAGAGAAGCGCCTAAAGCCCGCGGGATTAATATTCATCTTTTATCGCTACAGTTCATTATTATTTAAATACCTCGTTGATCTAGTGGTTGTAGCAGTGCGACTGCCGTGGTCCTGGGTTCGAATCCCGGGTCGGGCCAAAAATTAATTATCGAGTTTTTCTGTAGAGAAAGCCCGGAGTCAGGAAATTAGCGGTGTCTCACCCCCGAGCCTCGGAAAGCACGTAAAGCCGTTGGTCCTGCGCCTGATATCTCTCCTGTCGTGTCAGTTTACCATCCCATCGGATTATGAGAATGAGGGAATAGAGAGTGCACCTGTACTTGCGCATACACTTGGGCACTATAATCCTGTCCTGCGCCGATGGCTAGCCTCCGTTGAGGCAGGCCGCCGTGGCCGAAATTCGGTCTGGAGGACATTATTATTTATTATTATTATTTGAATACATAACTGTGTATTAGTAAACTCTACTTACAAAACACATTCTACGTAGTAGAGAGTAGTTACGTTGTACCAGTTCTGGATCACTGAGTCAGAAGTGGTACAAGTACAACGTTCGTCGACTCACGATCCTAAAAAAAATGCTCATGCTCTGATCACGAATCTGCGGTCCATTTTTGCGGAGGATGCACGGTTCTGGAGATGTGCAGATCAATTAACTCTTATCTTATTGATATCCGGTGAGGGCCTCCACCGTCATTAGCGCTCCATTGTTCTTATCTATTGTTCATTGAATACCGTCATTATCTATTCGTGCGTCGGATTATCAGTGCTATTATATTATACTCCTTTGTTCCTAACTGCAACGGTAATCTAAATCATCAATAAAATACATTACTTAATTTTGTTATAATTTTTATTTACGAAATACAAAATCTTATTACTTATTATCTATAAAATAGGAGCGAAACATCTTATCCACTAAAATATCGTTGTACAATGTGTTCCCTGTAAATATACTCGTAAAACTATGCATTGAACATCCCTGAAACTTATATAGCAAATACATTAAGCAATATTCGCCACAAACTGAAGTCCACTCATTCTGAATCCTATCAACATTCCAGTTCCATCTTTTACAATTCCTTTTTAAAAACTCTAGATGATATCGTACAGGTGCTCGTCCGTATAAATCGAAATATTGACCGACGTCATTCATATCGATATATAAAGCTACCCAATGTGACCCTGGTTTATCATCTGTATACAAATTGCATATTATATACGTTGGTACGTGTGTGTACATGGGCAGTTTATTAGCAGCATAAACATTATTTTCTAGACTGGGGTGAATCTTTTTCAGATGTTGTTGTACATCTAGTGTATCCATGATATTACTGCTATTAGTAGATTATTACAGTACAATCTACTCAATGACTAACATAGGAATGATCAATTATAGTGATTTCTAAATATTAAATTGCATTATTTTGTGTTATACAAAACGTATTTGAGTCTTCAATACACTGAACAAGACGCAACACGAAGTAATGCTGAGATAAGCAACAGAATGTGAGATAAGCTTGTTGACGCATAAAGTTACTGTCAATTCCACTGCAGAAATTCAGATTAGAATTATTACCTACTGGTACTATATAAGACCGAGCAACTGCAGTCATGGAGTTAGTGTATGGTCGTTCGACCGCAGTGGATCTATCAATACTACATTTGTGTTACTTCAACGCATCAAAGGCCATGGATGTAAGTGTTTATTCTATTGACAAACTTACTTTTGTTTCTGTTATTTTCTTACGTGTGTATGATTTAGTGTTAACAAATTATATTTAAATATTGTGTGTGTATATGATTAAGCCGTGGTAGCTCAGATGGTTAGCGCAAGCTGTAAATTTCACAGTACGTGACCCGGGTTCGATCCCCGCCGGCACCAATTAAATTGTTAATTGCAATTTTAAGTGTTTATTCTATTGACAAAGTTACTTTTCTTTCTGTTATTTTCTTACGTGTGTATGATTTAGTGTTAACAAATTATATTTAAATATTGTGTGTGTACCGCATCTACGAATACTAGAGTAGTTAAAAAATACTTTTTTTTAACAATGACAGTCATTGGTTGATCATTAGTGAATGTGATTCTGTTTACTTAAATTACAGGAAGACAAGAGCAGAAGTAAGAAATGGGATGATGGGAAGTAATGAAGCATTGTTATGTGAAGTTTGTTAAAACAAACATATTTTAGTCACTTAACATTTTGATTCAAAATGACTTAAAATCTAAAAAATATTAGATACATCATCGACATGGACGGATTTTACATTACATATCCTCATAAACATTTTCAATGTAGAGAAATGCCTATTCTAGGCGTAAAACTATCTAATAAAAATGATGCGTTTATCGATCATTATTTGTTTCGGCCAAGTTATCCTTTCAATTATTTGTCGCCAAAAGACAAAAAAACTGTTCGTTATTGTGAAACACACGTGCACGGCATTCCATATTTTGATGTGACCGAAGAATTAAAATGTGCCTACAAACAAGAGAACATCATTCCCATATTAAATTGGTATATTAGAAATTTGTGCAAGGCCGAAGTGATCGCATACAAAGGTGGTTCAACAGAAAAACAATTTTTAAAAATGTTGACAACGAATGATAGAATTTTCAATATTGAAGAACACAAATGTCCAAAATACAATGATTTGGTAAATGTCATAAATTTAAACAAACGTTATGTGTGTAATAATCATATATTTGCAAAAAATAATCACAAAATTTTACATTGTTCTTGTGACGAAGTGTGGGTTTTTACAAGTGGTTATTGCTTGAAAATAAAATTTTAAATTAATCATAAAGTTTGTTTGATTTCCCAAAATATTAGTTATAGTACACAATATATATTAATTGTTTACACCAACACTTTCATTTTTTATTTCACCCCTTAGAAGTTTAGACGTGTGTATTGTTTCACTTTATACATCCGTTTACTGCTATTGTGGCAGGACCAAGTGGATGTGGGAAGTCAAATTTTGTAACAAATTTCATAAAATGAGTTACAGAAATATGTAATTGTGATTTTAATCAGATCACATGGTGCTTTGATGAAATGCAACTTTTATATAATTTAACAAATGTTAACTATCATCAAGGAATTCCAAATCTTAATATGTTAGATGGTAAAAACCCACATCTCGTTATTATTGATGATCTAATGAGAGAGTCTGATGTAACTTTAAACTCGAACAGTGTTTTGTATTAGATTAAATAGAAGATTTATAAAGAAATAAAAAATAATATATTGCATACAATTTGTTTTATTTAATTTTATAACGTTTCACATAGCATTACAAACATACACACAAAATGCATTACACGTAACTCATAAAATCTAACACATATTATAACCTTAACTACTATTGTCTACAGTAACATTTCTGTTTTTATCTATCTCAATAATATTATCAAACTCAGCATAAACTATACAGTTAATTGTTTGTATTAGTAAGGATTCAAATCGTACTTCTAATCTTACACTACCATGCTTTATGAGATTCCAATGAGCTGATGAGTTGGCTGATAAATCAGGAGTTAAGTCAAATGCTAATATACAGTAACCTTTGGCATACTGTTCACAAGAGATCCCATTTCCTTCATTAAGAACGTGAATACCAGTTCCCGAGAATAGAGTATGATATGCTGATGTAAATACACTATTATTAAAAGATGGTTGCAAAGCTTTTGAAGGTATTTGTTGACCATCAATATATAAGCTGAAAGAATTAATACCATAGTTTTCAAAGTTAAATGGATTTTTAGTAAGGGAACCATTAAATGCAGAATTGTTCACAAATCCAATTATACATCTTTTGGGTACCTGCCCTAAAAATATATTATCAAGAGTTTTTCCTTGAACACCCGATGGAATTGTTAAAACTTTTACTTCAGCTCGAGTAATAGGATATTTAGCAGTGGTAGAGGCTAAAACTTTTTGATGTGCGAGTAATACACTTGGATTAATTCGTGCTCGTCGAACAATAAGAGTTGCATCTGTAATGCAAACTTTAAACTTTACATTGTTTGACCCAGCAATTAAATTAAAACTCTCTCTTGATCGAACCAATTTAACACTCATTTCAACACCATTAATTAAAAATTTATCTTGGTTGAAAATGTCACCGTGAAGATGACCAATCATTTCTATTTCCTTACTTTCACTAATCAATTCCTGTCTTTTAACAAATCCTATGTTTTTACCATCCGTAGAATCC